CAAATTCCTCTTATTCACGCCTTTTAAATCTACTTTCATTTCCCCCACACGCTCCCTTTTTTCAACTTTTGCCACTTCACCAACCCCTAAGACGGCCCTGCTCTCGGAAAACTCAGATACGATCCCTGCGTTGGAACTGCCAACTTATAAACGGTTGATGCTGCCCATATTACTGAACAACAGTGGTCGATCGAATCTCGCTAATTCAATTCAAGACATGAATTCATAGCCGTCTATCTAGAAGAACATAAGTTTAAGCTTTTCGAGAAATATGGCGAATTATTTCAATTCTATGGCGTTTTTGCCTAAATTTATTGACTCTTACACCCGAAAAGGAGTCCGCTTCACGTGACCACAAGGGGCTTGTCCTTAAAGGACAACAGCTCAGACAGCTGTGTGGCTCGCTGCAGAGCCGCTTACCTAGTCCTATCGCTGCGCCAGAATTCGGTAATAGTCATCTATAAATAGTATCTCTACATACTCCTGCTCAATCCTAATTGGTTTGTACAATTATTATTTGCTTTCATTATTATTTATTTTAGCACAGATAATTATATTTTATTGATTATTTATTTTAGTAATTTATACATATCACTTTTATCGGCGTGGGTTCGGGTATCGGACGCATTGACAGATCGACTGTTGTTGATGCTCTCCAATTCTACGTCACGATCCCCTTTCTAGGTTAGCATCTGTACGACCCCCCCCCCCACCACCACCATCAGTCAGCCTTAGAAGAATATCCCATTAGGCCCTTCCCCTCTCCTCGCCTCAATAGACCTTTAACTCCGCCCACTTTCTCCCGAGGCCTCCTTTACCCTCCCACAACCAAGACCACTTCAACGTCCCCAAATATGAGCTCTCCCCTAACTCAGTTAACCTTCGTCAACAACCATATTCGACCAACCTCCTCCCAAAATCGCAAACGCGATTCACCCCCACTCCCACCTTCATTGGTACTTATACCACCGGACGGCTGACCCTTGGTATCTAACTCTAACCTCTGACTTGGTACTCTACCCAAACCTACGAACAGCTCCATGTCACTTTCTTGTCGGCCATTGAGAAGCAATTTGCCTTGAAAAGAATTGTGAATCAGACCTAAATGCACGGCGCATTCAGAGTGATCAACTTTAAGCAGGTTTCCTGATGTTTTTTGTTTTTGAATTGCAATTTTTCTTCGTTTTTTGACCATTTTTAGCTTTTATTTGGTTTTTCTTTCTTGAATGAACCTCTTTTGTCTGCAGCTGCTGGCTACTGCTAATAACTGATAACTGACACAGTCGTGAATTTCTTGGCGTTGATGAGTGATATTTAAAATTTGATTTAGGGTTCACCCGTCTTGGCCCAGTATCGAGCGATGGGCCCAAATAAATTAAGATCTAGATGACTACACCGAGCATAACTCCTTGCCTTGCACTTTCTCCAGATCGCATAGGCTATTGATAATTCATGGGCAATTAGCCTCTGGTTAATCACATGCCCCTTGGATCGTTCTGTGTAGTCGATAGAAGATGTGTGATGGCCTTCAAGGTGGCCTGCCTTTGCTTTCAATGTCGGCAGTGATAACCGTTCTTCGCTATCACTGCAGTCACTTTATAAGAACGTTTCTTGTTGGTAGTGAACACAAATGAACGTTCGCCCAGGAGGGAGTTGGGGAACAATTTTCGAAGCTTTCTTAAATTTTTAGCTTCTTTCTTCCCATTCACCATTTGCCGTTAATTCCATTCTGATTTCGTTGTTTTCTCGTGTTCAGTTCTTTCTTGTGGATTGTCGTCCAATTTCTTCGATTTCATTTGTTTCGCCTTCCGTTCCCTTTCAAGGTCTAGCGGTACCCAATCCTACCCGATCCTCCCTATTAGCATGATGACTTCATCCCTGTTTATCCGTTGTTGTTACCATTTTTTCAGATCCACCTTTTCACAAAATATAATTCTCTTGAGCAAGATAAAGCACCGCTTAACGGAGCTTGCGCCGTGCGAAGAATCGAACCCTTCCCAAGAAATTTGAGGTCTTCCATCTCTAGAAGTTGATCGTGCAGGTGCCATATGGAACCAAAGGCAGCACTCCGATGGGCCTACAAACCCTTTCTGAATTTTTTACTTATTTTTTTTACCCCGGATAAAGCTATAAGGGGCGCATTTGCAAAATTTTTACGAATAAAATCAAAAAATGCGTCGAAAATGAAGTAACTATCGCATAAAAAGAAATTGAACTTGGAAGTTTTTCAAATCTCTGACACAGGTATTACCGTGTATAGGTTTTTAAAGTAATATGTGGTACTCCACCAAAGTTTTGGATGATATTGGTATGAATCGTGGTGTAACCATCAGTAACGCACTTGCAAATTGTGTCAATAGGTGGGCGCATATCCAAGAAAGTAATTCAGAGCCAATAGAAGTGTAAAAGCGTTATTATGTGTTTTTTTAAACGTTTTCTTTTTGACTTAATGGTAAAGTGCAGCAAAATTTAAAGAGGAGTAGAATATATTGAGTTGGAACGATCAACTAGGACAAGAACTTGTTAGTATTTTGACTTCAGAATAAAAAAAAATTTGAGAATGTAAAAAATAAATTTGGCTCCCAGACAATACCTAACCATTTGGGCGCGGCCGCGGCGAACGCGGCCGAGTTGATAGGTGCCCGCGAACTCAGCACAGCACAGTTCGCGGGCACCTCGAGTGCGTTTTCAACGGTTCGCGGGCACAATCGACTCGGCCGCGTTCGCCGCGGCCGCGCCCAAATGGTTAGGTATTGTCTGGGAGCCAAAATATTGATATGTGACTTCTTCCATAAAAGTGGTGGAGCGTTAGGGAAGACAAGGTAAATCTCAAAGTTTCCGCAAATTTTCACAAAAATTTTTCGGAACTCTTCGAAGAATCCCACAATTGTTCTATACAAACAACTATCTCTAATTCTAGCAGCCGACCCCCCCCTCCCCATCAACAGAACACTGCCACTTTCAATTAAGAAGAGTTACATACGGTCAAGAGGATCGAGAAGGGGAATATACCAACTCGCGCCCTTTAGGAGTGCCTTTCCCAGCAAGTGAATCGCCCCTAGCGGAGTTGAACCAATACTGTCTTAGGGAACATGCATTGAAACGGGGCTTTGTTTAAAAAGCATAGACGACTGAGGCGCCTAGGCATCGGCGGCAACACACAAGGCGAAGGTTAAGCATCCTAAGTTCAAGAAATAGAGCGACGGAGCGCAGGGAAGGGAATGGGATCTGAAGAGGGTGACGCAATTACAGTGCGGCCAAGAGTCCCGAATTTCTGAAACTCACTGTAGCATAACGTCGCGCGGTTTCAGGCCGAGAGAGCGCAGGTGAAAGCCACCAATTGAGACGCTCAAAGCCCGCTTCAGTAATCGCAAGGCGGCGCCCAGCGCTAACCTGCGCCACTCGCAGACAGGCGGCACGCCACCTCTCCGCGCTGACTCTAGTGGTTTGGCATATGAGAACGTTTTTAGCGTTGAAGAGGGTAGCACGGATGGTAGACGCATCAATGCGGAGATCAAGAGGCAGAGTAGGGGTCCTCTGAACCGTTTCGCACTGCTTCTTCTTTCCTGCCTGCACCAGGCAGGAAAGAAAAAAAAACCCTTTCACCTTATCATCTCTCTATCTAATGGGCCGCCTTTTCATCGTCAACTTCGCTTTTGATGAACACTCTTTCCTTCCTCCAGAAAGTCAAATAGCAGCCTTTCCGAGGACTCTCGAGGCTGTTGACGTTGACTCCGACTTCAGGAGCAGTCATCCTTTACTTGGAGCGTTAGACTCACAGTGTGGAGCATCTTATTCCGCCCTTACTGCGTAAATGACATAATTGGAAAGCGAATGCCTTAGTGTATCGTATAAACCTCGATTGCAATAAAAATTATAAAAATGGAAGTCAGAAACTTCAATTCATGTACAGGTCTCTAAAGCCTGAAGAAAGGTTTGAAGCTCATGTTCATCCAATAAAGGTCCCATCTAGCAACCTCGATTTCCATGAAGGAAGACACAATTCCACAAGCACCACACTTTTCTGGCGATTAACCTTCAAAAAGCGCCCCTTATCTTATCGTCATCGAAAGCGGTTCCTTTTTAGCGTCCTTGCTTCGTTATTCCCCTATCTATTCCAGTCACGAGTTTCTAATCCTAAACTGTGCAAACATCCAGAAAAGCATAGTTCTACATAATGGTGAGTAAACACTAGGTAAAGCTATGTCCTTTCAGGTCTTTTTTATACTGCTACTAAGAATAGCACACAAATTCATCACATTTACGATTACGCGTTGATTGTACGTTCGATTTTTGCGGGTTTAAACATCATTTAACCCTTCATACATGTGATAGCTATCGCATTTCTCCCTTGTTCGCTTTCGTTTTTTATCAGGGTCTCATCCAGTAAGGGGGGGGGCATGTGGTGTGACAGTTCTTGCCGGCTACAGAAATTCCAATTTTTGCAAGGGGAGGGAATCCCCGGGGTGCGTGAACCATTTCGCTTAAACTTTTACACCCACCCCGGAGCTTCCCTCCCCTGAAAAAAGTGGATTACTTCATGCAATATGAACTGTCGCACCACATGCCCCCTTTACTGATGAGACCCGATTTGATCATATTCATATTACTTTGAGAATTCCACAAAACAAAAACTGGATCTAACTTACAGTAAAGGGGCATTGGAGGTGCATAGTCTGTTCTATCCATTTCGCTAAATCAGTCTTCAAGCTCATCCATCGTTTGTTCCTCTGGTTTTTAAGCTAGTGTACTTCGTGGTTCTATGACATAAACGTATATGAAGCGTATTATTGACCTAGTAAGTCGCTAGGTTCTGAGCCCAAGAAAGGGGGAAGTCCCCGGGAAAAATTAAGATCGGGGTTTCCCTCTTCTTCTAGGACTTATTCTTTACCCTTTACACTAACGATAAGTCATATGCTATTCGTCTTCTTGGACACGTTGAGCGCTCTAAACCGCATGCCCCTTCACTGGAAAGAGACCTAGAAACTGTTCCAGACAGTATGGTACTGAATGGTAAACGAGTACTCACCGTAGTATCAGGAGCTTCACGAGGTATCGGCAAAGAAATTGCTATTCAAGTGTCGAAACGGGTCGCACCAAATTCAGGTAGAGCAGCTTTCGTCAATAGTATTCCTTTTGGAATTTCTCAGTTGAAAAGCAATCTAACATTTCACAACATAGAATAAAAATCATTCAAAAATATGGCGCTTGTAAGGATTGCATATTTGATCGTTTCTTCAAGAAAATAGGGTATGTCAGCGGCAATCTTGCACGGCCTTCCACGTGGGCCGTGGCGCGCTATTGAGATAGATACGCTCCCATCTCGCGCCGTCTCGTGTCTGAGTCTTTAGCCGTTTAGCAGAGAGAGCGTTAGCGTTGAAGAGGGCAGCAACGATGAGATTTGCATCAATGCACAAATCAACGGGCTTTCTCGGATTGTAGAAATTGGTCTTTTTTCTTCTTTCGTGTATCACTAACCATCTCTAACTTCAATCATTTTTCAGTCTTTTCATCGTTTCGTTTTTGAATAAAAATTTCTTCAAGTCCTTCGTAACTCAGCAGTCTCGTAATGAGCTACCTTTTTTTTTTTTTTTATTACAAATCAAGCAGGGTATTTCTTAACAGGTAATTTTCCCGATTTTTTTACTTTAATTTCTCATTTTCAATGATGCCTTTGAACTAATTTTCAAAAAGTATAGGGTAGTTGTATATATTGGGTTGCTGCATAATAACGTAGCGTCTTTTTTTTCTCGAGCTACAAACTCAGTGAATACAAGTACTACCAAGGAAATCACATATATCATTTGAAAGTACTTCTTCCGCTCTACAAAACCTTGTTTGTTTATTTTCTTCTATATTGTAAATGTACTCAGATATGGTGCTTAGAAGTTGGAAACTCAGGGTGGGCGAAAATCTATATAAAGAAAAAAGCTGCCAAAATGGGAGTTTTTCGGGATCTATCGTCATCATCGAAACTTACTCCGATCGACCCTCAATCACAAATCATATTTACGTCGTACATATTGAGAATGATGAGGACTCTGAAAACGGGCTCAGTACCCTTTTTTAAATTCTGGACCCGGCAATCTTTCGCGAATGGGATCAAAGTCGTATATAATGACGAGAAGAACATCACTGATTAGTTTTATGCTTGGCTTTGCTACGACGCTACGATATTATGCACCACCCTTAGATTTTTTTTTTTTTTATAGTTATAGTATAAAGTGGCGTGTACATAGTATTCTCACACAGTGTTAATGTTAGAGTTATCCGCCGTCATTTTAGCTCAGAAAAAGCTCAAGTATGGATAGTTGTCTGTGATATGGGATCGTTTAACCGACGATGCGATTAACACTTTAAAAGAATGTCTTGAAGAAATCAAAGGTCAGTTTTATCTTCAGGTCTCTCTCATTTCGAAAGCTTCTTCTCTAAGTATCTGATAAATTGATAAAGAAATTGGAAGCGCACCATTCTTTTGATTTCGACACCACGTTTAGCGAGTATAGAGCTGAACACAAAGATGCTATGGAGCAGGATGATAAACGGTAAAGGAAATCCTCGATATGCATCTGCACGTGGACAGTAGTTCGGAGGATGTCCCCGTGGGATGAAAAAGAAAGAGGGCGTGACTGAACAGGCCAAAATATCCTTACAAGTCTCGATGAGTCCTCGACCCGACAATCACCACTACGGAGCAACACCAGTTATTACTATTACTCAGGACAGGCGTCAGAATTGACGAAACCATCTGAGTGCATTGTATTGAAAAAATCATCTTAGTGCATGGCTTGAACGTGACTAGCAAGGGTCGTCTTTAGCCAGGGCTACCAGGAAGGTCTTTCAGGGCGTGACAAGCTTTTTGAAAACGGTCTTTTGCATGATATAGGGGCAGATGCGGGAACCACAGAACCATGTTCAATTTTTCCTGAACGGCCCTCTGAATACCAGAAAAGGAGGTCCCTAGTTCGATTCCTCGTGGTAACAAATTTTTGCATTTCGAGTTGACGTGCCAAAATTCGCGCAAAATGGAGTTAGAACCAACCAGAACAATCAGAACTCCATTTTGCGCGAATTTTGGAACGTCAACTCGAAATGCAAAAATTTGTCACCAAGAGGAATCGAACTAGGGACCCCCTTTTCTGGTATTCAGAGGGCCGTTCAGGAAAAATTAAACATGGTTCTGTGGTCCCCGCATCTGCCCCTATATCATGCAAAAGACCGTTTTCAAAAAGCTCGTCACGCCCTGAAAGACCTTCCTGTTCCTGGTAGGGGTAGAGTAGAGGGTGCGCCGCTGTGCAATTGTGCATAGCCCGAGAATTTCCGTTAGATCCTGGGAAAAACAAGACTCTCTAACTCTTTCACGACTCTTAACGGAAGCCTAGTATAGAAGTCGAATGCGTGGCGCATCCTCCACTGTTCTTTCGTCGTTAGACATTTGTTTGTTTATTTATCTGAGCATAATAATAATAATAGACGCCATAAAATCGTATAACTTATAACAAAAATGACCTCAACTAACTACGCAGACGGACGCGCATGCGATGAAAAAAAAAACTGTAAAAAAAGCATAAAAATGCTAATAATGTAAAAATGGGGGAAGTGAATGGCAGTGTGGAAGTGCGCTGGCTCACTCCCACGCGCTTCTAGGATCAAATGCTGGGTGCGAGTCCCAAGCCTTCCATCCCTCCGGGGTCGGTTAATTGGTACCAGACTTGTCTGGGAGGATAAAAACACTGACTTGTACATCGGCTGGCCCCGCAAGTCATTGTATAGGCCACATCGCATTCAAACGCCACTACGAATGTACAAATGGAAGTAGAATGCGTGCCGCATCCCAAAAAGGGATTGATCAACGGCAAATGCTTTATCCTTTTCGTCAATGTGAAATAGAAATCTTTATATTTTTTTTTTCAGAAACGGGTCCATTCGACAGCGCCTTTATATTCCACAACTGTGGCACTGTTGGTGATGTGTCAAAACGAAGTACAGAATTGAGTAATCCGGATCAATGGCAGAACTTCCTTAGTGTAAATCTCGTCGCTATGGTCCAATTCAATAATCTATTACTGAATTCAATCACGAAAGAGGTACTGTAACAAAAACTTCGCGCTGGATCGCTGAAGGAGATGTTCAAGGCGTATTTTTCAGGTTGCCAAACAACGATTCGTTGTAAATATCACGTCTTTAGTCGCCATTCAAGGCTTTCCTTCTTTAACACAGGTACGGAATTGCGTCAACAATTTTTGGGAATTCGCCCATTCGCAACCCTTTTAAAATGGGGTGAGGTGGAGAAGAAATGTTTTATTGAGACTGCTTCTATGGGGCTTATTAAAGCAACAACCCCAGATGAGGTCATATGGAACATTCTGTTCTGTGGGTAAGAGGTGCCTACAAGTATTATAGAACGACTCTAAACCGCGCAACGAAAGGGCTCAGAGCCTTACAAATTGAGCTAGTGAGAGCAAATGAGAGCTAGTGGACGAGATACCTGGCGCACACCCCGTGAAAGCTACGTTACTTAAATACTTGTGGGTTAGCGGAACCATGGAGCAAGCAAGTCCAGAAAACTGTCCCAGGCACGCACCACGCCCTCTCATCTCAAATGAAACAGAAAGGGGTACTTGTTAGGGACTTCGACAGTGCTTCCCCTCTCTTTTTTATGTTCAGTCAACTCGGCACACACTTTCGATATCTACCGCTCTTACCCCAAAGTGCACCAAACTGGTGCAGCAACTGTTTTCACCCAAGGCTCTCCTAAATTAATAAAGTTATGAAGATTTTTGTTGAATAGAATTTCGAGAAATAATGAAATACACTGGTGTGCAAAACTTAAGGACGAGACAGATGAAGTATCATAACCTTTTGATAGCTTTGTGGACCGTTTAACGGTTCCTGTTAACTGCTTTCTTTAGTGCCCTGTGACAGCTCTTTGTATGTGGTTAGGTTCCATAGAGTCATGTTACGCGCCAGTAACACGTCGTTGGAAAAGCTACGTTCGTCCCTAAGTTTTGCACACCAGTGTATTAAAATTCCGTCAGAACCCGTCAGTTGCCGTGACTGCCAGGGGGAGAAACAGCTTCCAGAAAGCAGTGTTAATTCACGTGAATTCGTCCAATTATGTTTTTTCTGGAAAGTCAACCACCACTTCACGGCGCCGTTTTTAATAACACTTTTGCCGATGTATCGGCAGCTGTCAAAGCACAAACTACTACTGCAGAGCGTTCTACAAAAAGGGTCTTTGCAAAGTGATTATTATTCGATGACAAATGAGTCAATAAGTATGCCAGCACGATTTTGGCTCCCACATATAGTTTAACCCTTTCGGCCCTAGCGGTGGCAATTGCCACCACCAAATTCAAACGCTTGCATTGCCGCTGAAACAGCATGGTTTTTCTAATCCTGCTAGAGTTGCTTCAGTCAACCTTCCCCTTCCTAATTATGAGCTAAACCTGCCATTTCATTGTGTGTTGCTGTTAGTATTACAAGTATTTG